TCTCCCCTCAAGGTAGGCACCCCATGTGCCCCCACACTCTCTGTGCTCTGACCTCCCAAGGCTGGTGCTCACCCCATGGTGGCACAGTGTCCCTGTCACACTGAGGACCCAGGCAGTGCAGCTTGGTGCAGAGAAGGATGGGGACCCACCTCCCACTGCCAACCCATGCCCTTTTCTTCCCTTCAGGTGAAGAGACCCCAATTTGTGCAAGCCCAGTCTGACTTCTTTGCCCATGAGGGCTCCCAGCTGCCCTTCCTCCGCGGGGACATCATTGAGGTCCTGGACTGTCCCGACTCCAACTGGTGGCAGGGGAAGATCTATGGGCGCATCGGCTTCTTCCCTCGGAACTACGTCCACCCCATACGCAAGTGAGCTGCCACCACACTGTCGGTGAGTGGGCATGACCTGCCCCCCTGCCCCGTGCTCACCAGAGCTGCTTCGTGCCCACACACAGACTGTGTGCCCCTTCGTCCCCACGGATGGTGGCTGTCCCCATGCTGCGCTGCTGCACACCAAGTCCTGGAGCCATGTGGGCTGTGCTGGAGGTAGAGGCCAGGCTGGTGGTGATCTCCATCCAGGGACTGTCTGCATCTGGCACACTGAAACATCAGCTGTGGCTCTCCTGACTCCAAGACCTCCAAGACCCCCAGCCCAGGCATCAGGCTGGCAGTGGTGCTCCCCAGGGAAGGTGTGGAGTCTTGAACCACAGCCATAAGAACTTTTCCAGCGCCACAGCCTGGTGGGATGACTGCAAACAGAGGGGAAGAGCATGTGTTGCCCAAAGATTGGCCCCTCTCCAGTCCCTGTAAGCGAAGCTCCAGCTCCAGGGAGGGCTGAGGTCAGCCAGGACACAGCCAGGCTCCGTAACTCCAGAGGGGTGCCAAGGCTCATGGTGCCAGGGAAGGCTGATCCAGAGGGTTTCAGTCCTGCAGGTGCTGTTCATAGCTGAAAATTGTGTGTTTTCTTATATTATATTTTATTTAGAACTACTAAAATGTGTTTGGGTGACACCCTTGAGTGCAGCTGCTCCTCTTCCATCTCCACCACAGGGCTCCCATTGCAGCACCCACGTCCCTGCTGCTTCACTGTGGCTTAGCTCCCCTTGCAGCCCCCATTTCCCCACCCCAATACCTGTCATAGGCCCCTCCCAGGGGCTTGCTGCCCCCACAAATTCCCCCCACACCTCACACCCCCTGGAATGCACTCAGGATCTGCAGTGCTGAGAACACCACTACACCAGTGGATTTAAACATCCCATGCCCAAATGTGCCAAATAAAAACTATCACACAGATCACTGTTTTCCCCCTTCTCCCAGCACCTTTCCCACCTTTTGGGGCTGGCAGGGCACTAGGCAAAATAGGCATAACAGAAAATATTGATGCACATCAGGACAATGGCGTTGATACCACAGACATTGGACCAGAACAGAGACTCCGTGGTGTCCTTGAGGTCCATGGCCAGGGATCCCTTGGCCTTTGATGGCTGCTGGATATCTAGGGAAGCTGAAGAGGCACCTGGCACAGAAATATGGTGACTGTGGGGGACAGACAGCCCTGGGGACCAGCCACATCCTGGTAGGGGGCACAGTCCTGGGGAAACTGAGGCATGGGGCATCCATGCTGTCCTGCTGCCTGTAACAGGCAGGGAGTGAGGGGCACTGAGGATGCCTCCCCTGCCAGACACTCCTAAGGACACACTCACCATTGCGAGATCCCTGGGATGTGCCACACACAGAGGGCTGGGGGGGCTCCCTTGAGAGGGTCCACCAGGTGAGATCCTTCAGCTGGAAACCAGGGTGAGATTTCTGAGAAAGCAATCCCAGGCCAGACCCTACCATGGGACCTCCCAGCCAAGCTCAGGGTGTACAGAGTGACACCCACATCTCTGGCTGAGGAGGTCTGGTGGGTGACAGGGTGAGGGGTCTGGGTGCCCTCACCTGGGCTGGGGGTGGTAGGGGGGTCAGTAGAGTGACACCCACCACGACAGTGGCTGTGGCAGCAGCCAGCAGCACAGCAAAGTGCAGGTAGTGGATGTCAGTGAGCAGCCAGGGCCTCTGATCGGGGACCCCACAGCGGGGTGTGGGGTGTGCCAGCTCCAGCCCCATCCTGGCCAGCCCCAGAGCCAGCCCTGCCATCAGGCCCCAAAAAGCTCCCTGTAAAGCAAAGGTCCATGGGGAGTGGCTGGAGGAGGATGGTCCCCCCACAGGGGGGACAAACCCCTCAGGAGCTGCTCCCTCCAGCCAGATCTGGGAGAGGGTTGAGTGGCCTCTGTGTGCTGGGGCACAGCTGAGTCCTGGCCCCTCCCCACAGGGGATGTCCCCTGCCAGCCTCATCATCTGTGCCATGCTTGGTGGCCATGCATGGTGGCACCTGCCTCCTCCTCCTCCTTTTCACACCAGCCACCCACCAGCTCCCAGGGGAACATCAGCCAGGCTCAATTCCTCTCCTCAGCCCCTCCAGCATTGCCTCTCCAATTCCTCCCCCAACCCCCTGACCCACTCTGGGTCCATTGGGGGACGGGGGCAGACAGGGGCATGTTGGTACCACCCATGTCTCCAATCTGTCCTGAGGGCCACCCTGGCCATGTACCAGCTCGTTAGCTCGGGGCCAGAAGACAGCCAGGACAAAGACAGCAGTGACAGGAGGAGCCAGGTAGCTGGTGACAGCCTGGATGTAGACGTAGAGCTGTCCACCGCTGGAGCTCTGCAGGATGGGGATCCAGATCACACTGAGGACCACCAGCACCACCGTGACCACCCTGTGGGCAGCAGCAAGATGGTACAGGTGATGTTTCTGTCCCACCTGCACTTTCTTGCACCTGCAGCATCACCATGGCAGTGGGGTTCCTCCAAAACAAGGGTTGGGTCCCAGTGCTGGCACAGAAGAGCTGGCTGGGGGCTGCAGGTGGGTCAGAGGAGAATGCTCACCGCTGGGTGACATTCCCAGGGCCATAGAGGATGCTACTTATACCTGTGCCAGTTCCATTCTGGGCAGATGAGCACTCCCCAGGCTCCTGCCCAGCCCTGGGAGCTGCTAAATTGGACCCCACCATGGAGAAACACCAGTCAACAGGTACTTTCACTATGAAAAGCCACCAGCCTCAGAGGCTGAGTGCTCTGGCCACATTTGGGTGATGGTCTCAGCACCCCCATGTCCAGGCAGAGCACCCAGGTGAGAGCAAGGAACATGGGCTGAGTTGGTCTGTGCTCAGCTCCCCCAGCTAGGCTGCAACAGAGGGGTGTGTTAGTCCCCAGTATCACTCTGATCCCATCCTCACCCAAATCCCAGCCACATCTCACAGCATCACCCTCCTCTGAAGCACAAGGTGTTGGCCAGACCCCAGATTTTGGGCCCAATCTCTGAGCAGGCAGCCTGGGCATGACCCAACCCAAAGGCTACTGTATTTATAGCTCAGCCAGGCTTATTTACAGCCTTGCAGAATTTCCTACATCTCCATCTGCTCATCTCAAAAAGCAGAAGTAGGGGGGGAAAAAGAGAAAAAATAAGCTATGAAAGCAGCTCTAGCTGGAGCCCCTGCTGTTGCCAGGTGCTGGGGAAAAGGGAACCAGTCTGAGCATAAAATGCACACCTTGACCCACGGGGTAGAAGAAATCCCTCTGTTTGGAATGTCTGTGAGGCACAGAGGATAGAATCATAGAATGATGGAATGGTTTGGGTGGGAATGGACTTTGAAGACTGCTGGGTTCCACCCCACTGCCATGGGCAGGGACACCTTCCACTATGCCAGGTTGCACCAAGCCCTATCCAACCCAGCCTTGATGCTGAAAGATTATGGAGTGTCTGAGTGTGGCAGGAGCTGGGTGTGCCAGGTGTCCCACTCCACATGCAGCCCAAAGTGGGAATCCAGGCAGGGAGGTAGTGCAGCCCCCAGCATAGCCCTTTGCAGGGGTCTGGGGCCATTCAGGAAGGATCAGGTTTTCCTGTCACTATGCCATCACCTTGGCAGGGAGCACACATCAAACATCAACAGAATTTCCAGCCAGACACCACAGCCACAGTAGAAGCTCAAACCCCCAGGTCCAGGAACCTGGAGTTCTTTCCAATTCCACAAGCAAATCCCTTTCCACCCCATGCTGGCAGGGGGTTGGAATGAGCTGATATTTAAGGTCCTTTCAAAACATTCTAGGATTCTGTGATCCCTGGATGGGGCTAGGGAGCAGCTGGGACTCTAAGGCAGCTACTCAGGAGTAACCCCAAGCCACTTGTCTCCATGCTGGCAAGTAGGAATACCTCAAACTTTCAGCTCAAACAGCTTTTTCTGCTCTCCAAAGCACAAATCCTTGGCTCCCTGTGATCTGCAGCACTGCTCACATTAATCACCCAACAGGCTAAAGAAGCACCCAGGATCCACTGCAGCAGCGACTCCTGCCCCGGGCGGGCAAAGCCCTTCGCAAATACTCATTATCCCTCCTCAGGAAAGCTGTCCTGTGTTGTCACACCCCTGTCACCGGCAAAGCCAGCGCCAGGGAGGGGCAAGGCAGGCCCTGAGACAAGCATTCTCTTCCCATGGGGGAGCATGGGGACTGTGGTACCGCAGGAACACAGCCCATCCCTTTCCCACCTGCTGGAGATGGAGGATGCCAAGAAACAGCTGTTCCTGCAGCTGCTGGACCAGCCAACCCTCCTGGCAGCCCCAGCACAGCCCAGCCAAAGCCCTGACCCAGATTCCCTCCTTGTTATTGTCTGCCCTGCGCCGAGGACGCTCCCTGGCTCCATGGCACCCTGCCGGGGCATTCCCCAGCACTGACTCTGCTGCCCCGAGCACAGCACTGCGGGTGAGTTCCTGGGCTTCCCGCCGGCACCCGCCAACCCGCGGGATCAGCCAGGGCATGTGCAGGCACTGCTGCCCTTTGCCACCTGGCACAGGTTCCCTCTGCACTTTGTGGGTGACCTCAGCCAGGAGCACCCACGGCTTCTGGAGGGAATGGGCTGGAAGCAACAGGGAGAGGCTTCACACCAGCCAAACATCCTGCCTGCCTTTCCACCGCTTTCATCCATAAAATAATCCCAGAGCTTGTTTTCCTTGCATAAGCCAGGCTGAGTGTAGGCACTTTGCAGGCTAGACTGGCCCCACCAGTCTCCCCAAAACCTCTGGTCACTACCTGCCCACAAAGAGCAGCTCCTGGTCACCAGCCCTTGGCCGCAGCTTCCTCCAGATGTCCATGGTGAAGAGAGTGCTGCTGCTGTTGAATATGGAGGTCAGGGATGACATGAGTGCAGCCATCATCACCGCAATCATCAGACCCCGCAGCCCTGGGGAAGAGAGGGAGCGTCATGGAGCAGCTGAACCCAGAGGGATGGGATGGGACAGCCCTGGGATAACGCCTACCCCTCTTCAGGCACATGCTGGG